GCTGTAGGATTTAATGTTCACTCTGTTGGATTTTGGATTTGCTTTGGTCCCATTCCTTGATACCCACATTTGTAACTTTTAGAATGGAAATGTCTATCATGTGCCATTGTATGTTGTAAGTATTTAACTTTATTTTCATTTGTGCAGGGGCTCACAGCTATGAATTTACCTTAAATCTCAGAGCAGGCTTTGAACTTGGACGTTGTAGCAATGCTCAAAGTGTTAGGACTTGGCAAGGCTTGGAGATGGACTAAATGCCTTTTGCATAAAGGGATGTGCATGAGTCTTTGGGGGCCAGGGCAGAACGTTATGGCTTGTTCCCGATGTCCCCCCAAAGCCTCTTGTTGTCATAGATGTGGCTTTTCAGAGGTGGCTGAATGAAGAGTGTGTGCTGGCGGAATCAGAGATGTTGTGCTGGGATTGATTCACTGGGAGATGCTTGGATTAAGGCTCTGAATGGATAAAATATAAGGGACAAAAACAGAGCTGCTGCTGCTGCTGCTGCTTGTCCTCTGCTGCCTCTTGCCTGGTCTGTGGTGCCCCTCTGCCGTGCTCCCACCCTGCCTCGGAGCCTGCTGACTGTGGACTGACACCTCTATAAACTGTGAGCCAAATAAACCTTTTCTCCTCTAACCTTGATTGCTGAGTATTTTATCTCAGCAACAAGAAAAGTAACTGATAGATCAAGATATCGTATTCAGATGACATGCAGTGGTCAGATTGCCCACATTTGTCATTTGCCACCAAAATTTTGGGGTTGGCCTTCCTTGCCATGTTGGTAGTGGATCATATGTACAAGGGAAATCTAGGGCTTCCCATCGTTTAAGGAATGTTGTAGACAGACTTCATATAGTAAATTCCTCTTTAAGTTTGCAGTTCAGTTTTCCAGAAGTAAAATGAAATAGATTTAAAATTATACTATGGCTTATGTTTCAGTTAAGACAAACTGAGCAACGTGTTTGGATTCTCTCTCTCTCTCTCTCTCTCTCTCTCTCTCTCTCTCTTTCTCTCTCTCTTTCTCTCTCGTCGTCCTCTCTCCCTCCCTCCCTCCCTTCCTTCCTTCTGTCTCCCTCCTGCTCCCTTCTTCGTTTCATTCTTTTTTGCAGAGCTGGGGATTGAACCCAGGCAGGCAAGCACTCTACTCCTGAGCTACTTTTGACTTTTAACATCTTTTCACCCTCCTTAGAGGTGAAAACTTCAAAGCATTTGAGCAGGGGGAACGAATGAGCAACAGTCTTGTTTAAGACTGTCTGGACCCTTCTTAAAAATAGACCATTGTCAGGAGGGAGAACGGAAAAGCAATCTTTACGTCAGTGTAGTCTCCTCTCTTGGGATATAAAATGTTCTCAAGGTCAAAAATGGTGTGATACAGTCCTCCAACCCATCTTGGAGGGTGCTGCATCACAGATATAGTGGAAATCGCTCTTGTGCTGGACATGAGTCTCATTTTAAGGGCCAGTATTTATGTTTTTATGTCCTGCCTTTTGTCTTATGTTGAATTTGTTTCATCTTGTAAAGATTAAGATGATCATGTTCTAGTTTTTAAATGTGAGAGTTGAATTATTAATGGTTTTTGAATAAAAAATGAACCCACATTTCTTCTACTGAAAGCAATACAGTATATTCTCAGAAACTTTGAAGCTCATTAAAATCAAGTGTCATTTAAAGTTTTTCCCTAATTCATCATGGAGATCTTTTCATTTCCTTCGTGATTTGGGACATAGCTGATTCTCAGTGGCGAGAATGCAGGGGCCACGCACAATCTCCAGCAAGTTGATGCTTTGTGTGTGTCTTATTTCTGCTGGTGGCTTCTAAGCAAGCTTGGATTTTTTTTTTTTTAATTAACTTTTCAAATTTAATGTCCCAAATCATGGTATCTGTCGTTAGGGTACATTTCCCCTTCCACATTGTATATTATAACCTATAATTTCATTATTAAGATTAAATAACATTATTGAATCTTTGTAGACAGATTTGTTTTTTTTTTCATTTGTTTTAAGTGGGGAAGTTTTAATGACATTTTCCTAATTGGTAAGCACTGAATCCTCTTAAGTGGTCATCATTTGTCATCAATGGTGGGAAATCAAGTGGGCTTAGGGAAAATTGGCCAACTATGGAAACATTGTTCAATAGGCAGAGGCATTCCATGTATAAAGAACGTGTGATATGTGATAGTTGCCTTTCCCCCATGTCTCTATAGTTAGATGTAATTATATTCTTGGATTTCATTTTCTAATTGGACGTCTTTTTTTTAAATGGGTGTCTAGAGTAGAAGGGGGAGCGGTTAAAGGTAGCACACACGACCTATCGAAATATATCACAAGATCATAGAAAAAAGCTTATTTGCTCTGATAGTAGTGTAATTGGCATCAGCTAGCAGATTTATCTTTCAGTATGGATTTCAATCTCTGTAAATCGTCTCTACAATAATGAATTTCTAGAATAATAATTTACATAAACTTGTACAAAGTGTATGTATCTGTGAGTGTAAATATAAAGGAAATGTCTTAACTGTGTACCCTGCTGTATTGTGAAAATGTATATGAAACCGATGCATTCAAATATTTTTAATGACACAAGTTGGGTTTCTTTCTAGACTAAAGGCAGAATATGTATTTACATTGTCTTAGCTTATGCAAAAAGTTAAAGAAAATTGTGGCGATACATTGTAGGAACAAGAAAACGTAACTGTATGCCCACATTGTAATTAACCAGTGGTTAGCTGTGATTATCAGAGCTTCTAGACTCTTAAGTAATAAAGTGTTACTATTTCCATTTTAAACTTGTGTCTGTATAGCCACCAGATCAAACATCCAAGATGGGTATCATTGGCTTTGTGCTTTAAACCTTAGATCTAACAAGTGAAAATGAAAAACATTTGGATATGATTAAAGAACAAAGAAACAAGGAGATGGAGAGTAACCAATTCAGAAAATAAGGAACAGTTGGTTTACTCTAATTAGAAACATCTTGATGTTTCTTTTTTCTTTTGTATGTACCAATTCAAAGCTAGATGGAAAATTAACTGTTTATCCTAATTATAGAAATAAATTCTCTGCAGATCTTCTGAGGTGACTTTGTTTTCCTTAAACTCTATAGCCTTAAGAGTTGCAGTTTATATTGGCCTCAGGTCTTTCCTCTGGTGTAGTGAGCTGGTTCGCTTTTTATCTCCTAGAACTGAGTGTCTTACTTCTGTTATCACCTGCACAAGAAGGTCAGGTCAGTAGCAAAGGCTCAGCTGACCAACAGAAGACTTAGCTCGTAGATGGAGGTGTGCTTGGAGGTGGCTGGAGCTAAGACAACGATGGGGCGTTTGTGTGTGACTGTGATGAATCTGAAGTGTGCCTATCATTTAAGCATAATTTCTGACCGGACGCCTTTGAACAATACCGTCTCATAGATAATAATTCCAGGTTATGGAATTAGCCGAAACTTTCATTTTTATAATGATGTATTTGTGGAAATTATAGAATTTACACTTCATTGCTTTCTCTTCATAGTTACTTTCCCTACTTTAGAAAATAATGAATATCCTTATTTATTCTGTATTCATCTTACGGAGGAAGTTACGTTTCTTTTGTAAAAAGAACTTCTTGTAAAGAGTGATGTTCATTGGCTATGTCAACAGATGCCTGTTACATAACGAATACCAAACCTGTGTTTTTATTGGTGGAGTCCTTAAATAGATGCATTATTAAAAGTGCAGCAGAGAAGCACAACTTTCAGTGATGGTGACATGTGGAAACATTATGTGGTTTTATGTTCATTTTATCTTTGTTTTACTGTATATTTTCTTTGAATCATAAAACATTTGCCTCTGTCCCAGCCCGTGAAACACACACTTGCACACGCACACACATGCGTGTGCCTGCTGAGTTTCGGGGATTCTGAGCAACCGTGAATATTTAACAAGCAAGGCCAGGTTAACCCTGAAAAGCTCCTTAATATTTTGTGTCATACTTGCTTCTTTATTATCTAAAATGAACAGTTTATGGCTGATCAACATAATTAACACCACAAACTTAAGAAATGGTAGAATGCTTCCAGGTGATAGTATTATTGTGCAAGATGAAACATTTCAAACTATGTCAGAAACCCAAGAAACGTGGAACTTAATATGAAGGTGATAGTTGCCTTTTCCTCTTTTCTGACCCACTTCTGCATACTACCGTACCATTTCTTCTAAAACAAGGACGTCATCTTGCCTTTCGTCTTTATTAATCCACTTCAGGTCTGCATTTCTTATACTGCTTAACAAGGGGAACATATAAAATTGACCGATAGCTTAAAAAAAGCATGTACCTGGAGTACCTCATCAGAAAATCTGATTTTTAGGTACGAGTAGTAAGTGTATATGACAAGAAGTTCGCTCCTTGGTTGAGATGCCTTTCTATGTCATACCCAAACCAAGTTTTCCGATCCTGTCTTGTGTCATTTCTTCCTGTTATTTTGTTCTAGTGTCGTCATGCCAAACGCAAGAGTGACACAAATCCGTAGTTCTGTTCCTGCCTGTATACTTTTTACGCATCGTTCCTGATGCCTGAGATTGCTTTTCTTGCGTTTGACTTCCGTGCCCTCCTCTCAGTTCCAGGCCTTCCATCTGCCAGACAACCGCTCAGCTTTCTAGATTGGTCATTAATGACAGAATTCTTTATTTCCTGGGTTGATAGTCATTGTGCCTGTTTTGTTTTGCATTTATATTTATGTTTTTTTTAAGTGTTCATCTCCCGTTATACTGTGAGCCCAGCGTAATTTATATTGTTTGTGCTCATGGAATTAATTCATGGATAAATAATAAAGTAAAAGCTCATTAGAAATTTAAATGTATAGTGTTTTCTGTGAACATTATTTTCAGGAGGAAGATTAATCTGAGATTCATGATCAGCTACCAGGACCTGCTTTGCTGTATACTTAATTCTGTTTGTCTTCATGTAGGTTCTCATTAAAACTTAGTGCATACGTATCTGTTTTGATCTTTACCTTTCCCCTTGTGTTCATAGGCGGAAACTCACGAAGCTGTCCCTCATCTTCAGTCACATGCTGGCGGAAATCAAAGCAATATTTCCCTCCGGTCAGTTCCAGGGCGATAACTTCCGCATCACAAAAGCAGATGCTGCTGAGTTCTGGAGGAAGTTTTTTGGTGACAAGTAAGTAAAATTTCTTTCCCCCCAATTTGGTTCCATCTTTCAAGGGTGCTATAGCCCTGTCTCCAGTGGCTTATGGTATAGATTTTATTGAGTGTTTTGAGAATGTATTTTTGGTATTTGAAAATGTATTTTTTGTATTTTAATCTATTGGTAATTTTTCTGATGCAGCCATCAAAAATGTGCCTCAGTAATGGAATGGTTTTGTTATTACAAAGTAAAGTCAAGGTACACAGTATTATATATTCTGTGAGAATTCCCTGACTCCGTTTGCATGGAGAAGCAAAAGTCTATGAGAAGCAGATACAAGATACCATATCAGAAACATTTAGCACAATACAGTATCTGAAGGATTCTGTATTATGTACAAAGGTATTTAAGACACACATGAGAAGCTAGTAACTTCACATAATTTAGTATATACCTAAGAGCATATGTACCACGTAAAAGCTAGAGGGGAATGTAGATGATAAAAATAGCATAAATAAGTTGCTCTGACAATCCAGAGAGGGAAACAGTAGCTTTGATACTGCAGAAATCAGCTGGGGATATAGCTCAGCGGCACAAGTGCCTGCCGGGCAAGCGCAAGGTCCTGAGTTTGATTCCCAGTACCGAGAAAAAACCATTGAATTTTGGGCCGTGGATGTAGCTCAATGGCACAAGCGCCTGCCTGGCAAGCCTAAGGTCCTGAGTTCAATTCCCAGTACAAAAAAAAAGAAGATATTGCAGAAATCAGGAGCTGCTTCCCAAAGGAGGTGGTATATAAAGCTTGCTGAAGATCTGAACTGGGAGCGAGAAGGTCCCAGCACCCTGGTCGGTCCTTTTTTTTTAATATTGTTGAACAAAGACTATTCTGAGTGAACAAGAAAATTTTCATGATGGTATCATAAAAATAGTTAGATTGTAAGGTCTGTAGGTAAGGTGCTTTCCAACACATTCCACCCAGACACAAGTTCTGCTGAGCCTGATAAATAGTAGGTATTGTCTGATTAAAGTCCGAATAATTTAGAAGAGATTTCTGGTACTTTCATGAGAGACTGAGTGATCGAGTGGGGCCGGAGGCATCTGGCTTCCTCGGGGCCTTCTCAGCACCCGTGAGGGGCCTCACCCTGCTGGTGCCTCTGAACGCTGGCAACACCGTGAGCAGTAAGACCGGTGTCCTGCGCAGATCGCTGTTCTCATTCTCTGCCTGAAAGTCCCTATTCCGTAGCACATGCAGAATGTTGCCGTACACTTTTGATAACTTTGTAACAGAGATTTTCTTTTGTTTGTATTTGTTACAAAGTGCCATATTTATTTGTAGCTGCCAACATGAGTACCTTGTACTTACATAGAGTAATTCAGAATTTAAGATACATATCAGTTTTTTGGCTTCAAAAATAAGAAACTGTTTTTTACTTTGAACGATTTTTAGGCACGGAAACAAAGAATGCCATTATTGCCAGTAAGGTGCGTTCGATACTCTAGGGACCTTCTGCCTGTTCATAATGTCTCCATACCCAGTCACAAGTGAGAAGCTGAAAGAATGAGACCCTCGTGTCTTCATCTGCATTAGAGTAGCCAAGTGCCCATCAGACGTTTGCGCAGGTGGAGCTGGGCAGGCTCGGCAGTTTGAGAGGAGGAGGGGGGCGCTTTGCGTTCGCGCCTCACCCTAGGCCTGGCGCAGGCGGCTGGTAACCTTCCAAATAAACGTTCTTGTCAATTTAAGACGTTTGTGGAATAAACTGTTCATGGTACTTCTTTTTTGAAAACTGAAATTTCTGATGACGTCTAAAGTTGTTTACTTGTAAGGTTAATAAAAAAATGGAAAGATTGTTCATAGATCTTTCAAGAGAAGAGTTTACTTTGCTGGGCTCTTAAACCACAGAGAGCTACAGGTTTGAGATACCTTTATTTCCCTTTATTTATAACCACAGACATCAAGGACTGAAATTTCTGTTCAGCTGCTACATGAGAGACATTCCTAGTACACCAATGGGGGGGTTCTTGAATACTGGCTAAGCAGTCTCTCTACCGTCCAAGCCCTTCTGCCTTTGTCTCCTTTCTCACTGATTCCTGTGTAATTTGGCTTGAACGTTTTTGTTTCCAGGATGAGAGCCAGGTTTCAAGCTGCTTGTGGTACTTAACATATGTCCATAGTCACTCACATTAATGGTATTTTGATGAGATTATTGGAGAAACTATTTTTATATTCTTCTAGGGTTTTCACCTTGTAGATCCATGGTATTTTATTGAAGTAATGTACAAATAAATAAGTGGCATAACCTTTCGCTGGCTTTAATTCTCTTACCTCCGTTGTGCTGTTGTGATGCTAGTTTGTAGTTTCCTCTAAGTTGGTTTTTGCACTGACTTATCCCTGTCGTTTATCTCACTGCACACTTGTGCCGTGTGTAAACACTTTCATTTATCCTAACCCTTGCCTTTCAAGTTAAAAACAGCTTTATTTTCTGAAACAGAACCATTGAGAGGTTGTTTCTAAAAGCCGTCAAACAGCATCTCACTTAAGGATGATTACTGTGATGTGCCTTTCATGAAAAACAGAGACGGCAGTAACAAAACATTAAGATGAATTAAAATTTGGGAACAAACTGTTGTTCATAGGACTTTATAAAACTCAAAGACAACTTCAGGATTTGGACCTCATAAAAACAAGCAGTAGAAAAATAGGTGCTAAAATACCTAATGTGGTATTGCTGCGCCTCCTAACCCCTTTGAAATCACGGCAGGGTTTTCCTCTTTGCTGAGGGCCTACACCTGCCAGCTAACAGGCTCTGCCTGCCTGGAGGCCCGGGTGTGTCATAGCAGCCTGATTGGGAAATCCCACCCCACGTTCCATACATTGTGCAAATTTACTTAATATTGGAGCAGTTCGATTCTACTATTTCTTTGTGTATGAAAATAAAAGTGAGCGGAGTGGGGGGGAGGTTACAGCTGAGCAGCACAGGCCCTGCCTGGCAAGCATGAAGCCCTGAGTTCCATTGCCGGCACCTAAATAAATAAATGAATGAATGCATGTGACAGTATTGAATAAACATTGTCTAAACTAGGTTATGTAAAATGAGTCAATAGTAAACTGATTTTCGTAATCTGGAATAGTTTGAGTCCAGAAAATTTAAGTGTTTAGGCAAAAGGGGCTCAAAAAATGCATAGCTTGCTGTTAGGTAAGAAAGAAAACAAGAGAAAGAAGAGGAGGAGGAAGGGGAGGAGCACAAGGGAGGTCGCAGGAGAAGAGGACAGAAGATAAATGAAGCGTCCTAATGTGTCTGGACTTCAGACAGCATTTATTTTTTAAGCAAAACAAGTTGCAGTTGGACATTAATCATGAGTTGCTGAACAAATATAATTCAGCAAGCATCAGTGGATTGTATTTCTTAAATCTTCTTAGGTGTCTCATTCTTTCTATGCTGACTTTACTTGAGACTCTTCTGCAAGTTCAAGGTCGTACTCTTCCTGGATTAGTCCAGCAGAGTTTTGCGTGATAGCCCTCTCTTCAGGAACACCTTTTCTTCTGAAACCATTGAGCCTTCTAGAAAACATAGCTAATCATTTCAGTCTTTCACCTGAAGTGCTCCTATGACTACTGGTTCTAGGATAAAATCCAAATTCTCATTAACACGTTTTAAGAACTGTTTCTGTTTCTTGGTTTCCTGGCTTCATTTCTTTGTTCCGAGCTCATCTCAAAAAAAAAAAAAAAAAACTATTTAATCCTCTACTGATTTTCCTCCCACTGCTTGAGTAGCCAGTCACCCATGCCCCACTGATTACTAACCCTTTGGAAGTTTTCTCTGGCTCCCTCCTCTAAAGTGAATACACATACTGTTCGTGGCCAGGTACCAGGTATTGTAATCTGACTAGATTACAGTGCATCGCTAACGTGTTTAATATCCCAGTGAGAAGTTTGCAACAGATTCGGAGGTCTCTTTGAAGATGGAGCCTTTCTTTCTCTCTACGTCTATTATTCGGAGTCTGGCACACTCCCTGGAATGTGTGGCCGCTAATAGGTGTTAATGGGTTGTAGGAATAGTTGGCTGGAGGGATGAGGATGCCTCTTCTGTGCTGTCAGTTTGCAGTGACTTTACTACAAACCGACCCATTTACCGCCAGTACCCATAGTTCTACTGCATGGGTGCCTGTCTTTTATCTTCTTCCTTTTCTTTCATCTCAGAATTGTGACACATTTCTTAAAATCCAGTTTAGAAGTCCCCTTTTCTATTCAGTTCTTAATCAGATGTGCCTTCTCACACGGTTAACTTTCTTCCCTTCTTTATATTCTTGTTGTATTCTAGACATCGCTGTAGTATTGAGTTATGTTATGGCTTGTATCTAGATATCCCTCCAAAGTCTCACATGTTCGTGGGTGCAGCTCTTCAGAGTTGGCTAGACCTAGGGCGGTTGTGACAAACCTATGGCATTCGTGCTGCAGCGGGCTGTTTGTATCATTGAAAGCTCTAAAGGGTTCGCCATTACTGATCTAAGGCTTGTGATACTGGGATCATGGGTGTATGGTGTGAAGTTAGTCTCCTGATAGGAATTAGCATAGTTCTGGGTGTGGACAATGGAAGCCCTACCCTGGTTGTGGGTGGCACCAGTCAGTAGGCTTACAGCTTCCACAGGGTATAAAGGGAAGGAGGGAAGGTGGCAGGGAAGCTGCTTGCTGCTTGCTGCCTTCTGCCTGCCATGCCATGAAGAGTTTCTCCTCTGCGATTCCCCTCTGTCATGAAACACTGCCTTGGACCCACCCCGCTATGGACTATAACCTCTACAAATTGTGAGCTGAAATAAACCATTCCTCTTCTAACATGTGGGTGTCAAGTATTTTGTCCCAGTGAGAAAAATAACTGAGATGGTATGTATTTGCTGTATGGATTTTATTTGCTTAATTTTGTGGCTCTTTGATGAATTTTTACCCAAATGTATTAAAAAGTTATATTTGTTTGAGTTGTCATATGTCAGAGTTTACTGTCAGCGCTTTTACCAGTGCTAGCTCCAGTATAATCTTTAGC